CAGCTGCCTCTGATATGTCACATTCCTTGGCCAGGCTCCCCCTCTCTGCGCCTGCCCCCCCGGCCCTGCAGCCCAGCTCCACTTGCAAAGATAGAAAGGGGCCAGCACCTTTCCATATTAGCAGTGAGGCTCGGGGGGACCCAGCCTTCCTCCTCCCCTTCCCCTTCTCCGGTGGTGTCACCGGATCCAGACAGATAGACCCTGGTGGCATGTGGAGGGAAAGGACACCGTCATGTTTCCTGCAACGCGAGACCCCGGGCAGGAGCGAGCCCCACAGGGCCCCTTTGCCCAGCGCCCAGCAGGCAGCAGAAGCGGGGATCCCTGCAACCCTTCTCATCCGAAATCCACCTGACAGGAGGCTGCAAACACAGCAAAACTTCTCTCTCACCGAGATCTTGCCTTGCTGCCCTGATCAGCAGGAGTCCTGGCCAGCCGTGAGCAGCAGGAGCACCCTTCTCTTTGGGAGCCCTGTGAGAGCTCCCACATGCTGCCCTCCAGACAACAAGCAACCAGGGACTGCCTGTGCCACCCCCAGGCAGGGCTTCCCTGGTTCCTGCCGTGATGGCACACAGCTCTGCACCTGGCCCCAGCTGCCCTCGCCAGGGGCTGCAGATGTGGGTGAGCAGGACACAAGTGTCACAGCACGGTGCTGCCAGGCTGCAGACCAGCCCCGCCGGCTTTGGCACAGCTCTTTGTCACTAGCCCAAGGGTGCTGACATGAGTGGAGCATCACCAGCAAAGAGAAGATCCCAGGATCCCACTGTATTGGGTGACTGGGGCACACTGGAGTGGCATGCCCTGCTGGACCCGCAGCCCGACTGCTGAGCAAGCTCCAGGGTCTCGGGGGCTGGAGGAAAGCTGCCCCACGGACCCAGGGCTGCTCTGTCCCCTGCCTACCACCCTAAGCCGCTGGGGCAGAGACCTGGCCCAGGCAGCCTGCCTTCTCATCCGAAATCCACCTGACAGGAGGCTGCAAACACAGCAAAACTTCTCTCTCACCGAGATCTTGCCTTGCTGCCCTGATCAGCAGGAGTCCTGGCCAGCCGTGAGCAGCAGGAGCACCCTTCTCTTTGGGAGCCCTGTGAGAGCTCCCACATGCTGCCCTCCAGACAACAAGCAACCAGGGACTGCCTGTGCCACCCCCAGGCAGGGCTTCCCTGGTTCCTGCCGTGATGGCACACAGCTCTGCACCTGGCCCCAGCTGCCCTCGCCAGGGGCTGCAGATGTGGGTGAGCAGGACACAAGTGTCACAGCACGGTGCTGCCAGGCTGCAGACCAGCCCCGCCGGCTTTGGCACAGCTCTTTGTCACTAGCCCAAGGGTGCTGACATGAGTGGAGCATCACCAGCAAAGAGAAGATCCCAGGATCCCACTGTATTGGGTGACTGGGGCACACTGGAGTGGCATGCCCTGCTGGACCCGCAGCCCGACTGCTGAGCAAGCTCCAGGGTCTCGGGGGCTGGAGGAAAGCTGCCCCACGGACCCAGGGCTGCTCTGTCCCCTGCCTACCACCCTAAGCCGCTGGGGCAGAGACCTGGCCCAGGCAGCCTGGGCCGGGCAGGGAGGGAGGTGTCGTCCCTATCCAGCGCAGCCTTGAGGGCCGTCCTCGATGTCACAGGGCCACCTGCTGGAGACAGCCCTTCAGATTCGGCACCCCTTCGCCCCTGGCCGGTCCTGCAGACAAAGGCGGCGTTCACCACGCTGGCCTCCCCTTCAGGTACCCCTGGCAGCCTCGTCCCCACTGATGGCAGCAGCACCTGCTTTGTCCCTAAAATGCCACCCTCTGCCAAGCCCTCTACCCTCCTAGGGCTCTGCTGCCTGGCAAGGGGGTGTGGACCCTCTGATGCCTCCTTGGGGGAGTGCAACCCTCAATCTCTCTTCCCCAAGGGAGCCCCCCACAGAGGTAAATTTGGAGTGAGGAGAGCTCTGCTAGCAGGTCGGTGGCAATGGTGGGTTGGCAGAGCCTTGGATAGGTCCCCGGCAGCTGTGGGTCTGGGGCAGGCCTGACCTTGGTGAGGGAAGAAAGTGGGCAGCTGTAGGGCTGAGAGCCACTGGGACACGGTATAAGGCCCTAGGTGTATGGGGGAGGGGACAGGGGTTGGTCACCCAGGGTCCCTCCAAACCTTCTCAGGGCTCAGCTGCCTCTGCCCCCAGTCCCAGCAGGGCTCTTCCACCCAGTACAACTGGGAAACCCACCACCACAGGCAGCAAAATGCCCTGGGGCACCTTCACTGTGAGGGACACAGTGTTTTGGGGGAACTAGCAGCTTAGGAAAGAGATATCTCAAGGAGATGCTGGCCCCCAAACCCACCCCAGCCCATCCCTGGGGGTCTGTGTGATGCTCCCTCTGGGTGGCACCTCCCCACCACCCCATCCCACCCCTGCCCCAGAGATGCTCCAGGAGGAAGAGGTGATGCTCCGCTGTTTATTTCAGCCGCCTGAAGAGTCACATAGACGTGGTGGGGTGGGGGTGCAGTGGGGCGAGGGGTGGGGGTGCCTGCCCTGGCCCCCAGGCCTCTCTCCGGCTCCTCTCCTTCTCTCCCCCCTCTCTCCCACTCAGTCACTCCTCCTCTCTCCTATGTCCACCTACAGGTACCCTCTCGGCTCACAAGCCTGGCCCCGCGCAGCCTCCTGCTGCTGGGGGTCCCCACAATGAGGGAGGTGGGCGCTGCCCTCCTCTGCCCCATGAGGCTGCCTCTCGGGCTGGGGGGAGCACAAAGCCACAGTCCCCCCGGGTTGAGAGAGGGATGCAGGTTGGGAGCACCCTGGCTCCTAGCTAGGCAGAGAATGGGGGGGTCGGCCCGGACCCCACTTCTCCCCATCCGTGGCATCACCACCATGCACCCGGAGAAGTGCCAGCTCCAGGGAGGCCAGCATGGGGGGACAAGTTCCTGCTCCCATGAGACAAACCCCAATCCCATTTCTGACACAGGGAGGGGGCTACAGGGGGATCCAGAACCTGCTGCTGGGACCGTCCAGCTCTCCAGGGAGCTGGCCAAGGCTA